TATATTTATATAAAAAGACCAATAATAGCACTATGTTATGCATCGATAGCAGCAACAGCTTTTCCAGGTTCTGCAGTCATCTGAACAAAATTATAGACATTCAGCACATTCCATTAAAACAAAACAAAACAAAAAAACAAAGAAAAGAATAATATCCAGAAAACATCAAAGTTCTGTTGCTGTTGTGGTACCTGGCACCATTTTTTTTTTTATTAGCATCTTAATCATCATCTGGGAAGAGAACATTCTAGAGTAATATCATTAAATGTAGCTCTGATAAAGCACGGTCCCTACTATGTATCATAAAGCAGGTACAAGATATTTTACATTTATAGAGGTATGATACAGTACCGTCCTACATCAATAATACTAGAATCAATTTTGGTTTGAAATTTACTTTGTCTACAAATAAGATTGCTACCCCTGTTTTTTTCTGGGCTCCTGTCACATGGAGAATTGTTTTCTATCTTTTCACTTTCAGTCTATGGGCTTCTTTTTGTACTAGGTGTGTTTCTTGTATACAATATATTGTTGGATTTTGCTTCTTATTCCATTTTGCCAGTCTGTTTCTCTTGATTGGTGAGTTGAGGCCATTGACATTGATGGTTATAACTGATATGAACTGACTTTTCATTGACATGTTATTGGCCTTTTGTTGACTCTTTTTACTTTTTCACCTTCTCCTTTTAGCTTCTTGCCTTGCCTATTTGATTTGCTCTGTTGGGCCTCATGGTGTTGTTGCCTTCATTGTCTTTTTCTAGGATCTTGTTTAGAATTGCTTGTAGTGCTGGTTTGGTATTCATGTAGTTTCTCAGGTGTTCTTTGTCACGGAAGTGTCTTATTTCCCCATCCATTTTGAAAGAGAGTTTTGCAGAATACATAAGTCTAGGTTGGAGGTTGTTCTCTTTTAGTACTTGAAATATCTCATTCCAGGCTCTCCTTGCCCCAAGGGTTTGTGTTGAAAAGTCTTCTGTGATTCTGATGGGCTTTCCTTTGTATGTGATTTGTTTCTTTTCCCTTACTGCTTGTAGTATTTTGTTCTTCTGTTGGGTTTCTGGGATTTTGATTATTATATATCTAGGTGTAGATTTTTTTTTATTGTAGCTATTTGGGGTCCTATATGCCTCAGTTATCTGAATGTCAAATTCTTCCCCTCTGGGAAGTTTTCTGTCATTAATTCTGCGAACAGATTTTTTTTTAAAGTCCTTTGTATATTCTCCTGCTACTTCATGTATTCCTATCAGTCTTATGTTATTCTTCTTTGCATCATCTAGGAGTTGTTGGATCAATTTCTCATGATCCCTTACTGTTTTTAAGAGACCTCTCTTTTCATGGTCACTGACTGCAATCTTATCTCCTATATCTGAGAGTCTATCTTCACATTCTTTTATTCTGTTGCGTACACTTTCTATGGAGTGTTTAATCTCCTGGATATCTGTTTGAATCTGTTTTATGGATTCCATTTCTTTCCTATGTTGGGCGTTTATTTTTTCCATTTCTTTCTTATGCTGGGCCTTCATGGCTTCTATCATGGTCCTGAGCTCATCTATTTTTTTGTCAGTTTCTGCTCTAGAGTCTCGAATCACGACTTCCATTTTGCTCACTATCTCTATGGTTATCTGGGAAATTATTTCTGTTTTGAATTTTTCTAGAGCCTGATTGATCTGTTTTGTTACTTCCTGTGCTTTGAGTTCAGGGTGTCCTGGTGGTTCACTATCGGCCTTTTCATCCTCATTTGCCCTACTGTTTGCCATTGGTGAACTGGAAGTCTGTCCTTGTGTCTTGCTTAAGTGTTTTCTCATTTTAATTTTTGTTGATGGACTGTCCTTGGTTTAATCTCTGGATTATCACCCAAATCTTCCTGATATAGTTGCACCCTAGCTTCTGTGTCTCTAATGACCCACAGACACTCTCATCTTCATAACATCAGAGAAAACAGCTCATCAAATCAACCGCAATGCTTTATCTCAACTGATACAATCAGCAGCACATTAAGATCAAGCACAACTTGGACACTGACCATCTGTGGTAGTCACTAGTCTATCACCCTTAAATCATTTGAATTCAGTTGAAATCAAGAAGCAGTCCAGAACATGTCTGCGTAAACAAAATTTCAATATAGTGTATTTACCATTTAATGGCTCAGACAGAGCGAGGACACAAGACCCCTGGTCTCATTTAGTTGATTGCTGAATCCCATGATACTGACTGACCTCGGGCTGCAAGGCCCAGATTGAGTTCCCCAACCTTCTGAATGGTTGAACTCCACAACGCTCTATTACAGGTTTCCCATGCCCTTTCTTTAAAGAT